CACAATGATGCATCAGAAAGAGATATACCCATTGTTTCCATCACATTGTCTTATATATCGCTATATTATTCACAGACTGAGTTTCGATGGGATAAGGAGCAGTGCGTAACGCAGGAAATAAAAACTTTTCCTGTATCGCAAGTCCCTCCCTTCTTCAGTTTCAACGGCACAGTCAAAGTTGGCTACCTACTCTGTGATAAGTGGATATGGAAGACTGGGGGCCACAATCCAGGGCAGCCAACATCCTTTCAAGCTTATTACATAACGAACCAAACGAATGCAGCGAGCGATCTCGACAAAGCCTCGATTGCGCCAGTCATGATAGAGTCTACTTACAATTCGGGGCCTTTGGGAAAAACAAGTTCCTATATGGTGCTAAATGTAACTTCCTTCGCGATAGGTGTCGATGAAGACTCTTTTGAACTTCCCACTTTTTGTTTGAATCGTCCATCAATAGCTGTGGTATAAACTGAAATCTACCGTTAAACATGAAATTTTTGCGGGAGTGTTCTGTTTGTAGATTTGCGTTCTTTTGTCTGTCTTTCGTTTACGGGAATGAAATATTGGCGAGTTTCAATTCTGTTTCAAGTAACAGAACACTTTGAAAGGGAAAGGAACTAAACATTTTCAAATTGCATTGTTGCTAACCTGCTGAGTTTTGTCTCAATGGATCTTCCGTGTGAATCCAAGCTCGAAACCGTCAGTTGACTTCGTACAAGGGCATTATAATATTTGACGAAAGCTCAAGAAAATTTTTCAGGCATATAAATTGCGCTTTTGGTTGGTTTGTTTTCGTCGGGAGCTTACATTACGGACTGAAAACAACCCCGAAAACTCGCCAAAATCAGATGAACACGTAAAATTTTCATGTTTGACGGTAGGTTCTGGCAGAAAGTTAGAAAAGTAATATTTTGACGCGATCAGTTAACGACGTAGATGCATCTTGACTCTGTTACGATGAGTAAATTTAATAGTTTCTGTTTTTATCGGTTGATTGGCATAACAAACATCTTTAAGGAAGAAAATCATTAATCTTAAAAATTGATACGGCTTCATAATGTTTAGAGATCATTTGAACCAAGTCGGACATGCATAAAGTAACGATTTTAATATCTGCGAAAATTGGCTTGCTTTCATTGTGTCTTTGCTTTTTAATTAGACAACAACATTGATATTGATCGTAAGTCATTCATTTATCATTTATTACACAAAAATACCTGAATTTCAAAGCTTTGAACCAAAAGTAATCTTTTGCTGGACGATATGGAGTATCAGGCGATTTGTTTTCAATTTCCGAGAAAGTTTGATTGTTGAGCATTAAAAGTTGAAAGTTAAAACACTCATTTTCTTTTTTTCTGTATTGCATGCATTACTTGATCTGCCACTCTATAGTGCTCCAAAATGTCGGAGGCGTCACCCATTTCGTGCGTGACCGAAGGCATTACAAATCGCTTCATTGTTGGAAACTCATCGTCTCCAGCATTCATTCCCTCCTTTCGATGATGGCGTTTGACAGTTTGAATATCCAGTGGTACGTCATCAATCGCCCCACCCTCCCCCTCATCCTTACTCGTGCATACATCCGGGAGATCAAACATCCGAGACTCGCTGCTGATGCTGATGGACTTATTTGGGTAATAAGCGACCATGAATTCCTTATAGTGAGTGAAAATTTTTTGTTTAGGAATAGCAATGGCGAATTCTACCTTCAGTGGTACATTAGTACCATTGATTTTAGCCACATATATGTGATGCACTTCAACAATTTGACTTTCACCGAGAGTATTCGTCTCTAAATTATCTGTGAGGCGAGTGAGAATTTTGTTGCGAACTGTTTGGCTGAATCCAACGTTTTTGGCTTTATCCTTCACGGCACTAAAGTTTCCCTGACTGTTGGCTTCGTAAATCCAGTCTTCACATTCGACGCCCAGGATTTCCACTGTGCCGTTGTATTGGAAATTGTCGGGAACCTTCATGAGGCCTCGGAATTCCGGAAGCATGGTCTTGTTACACAAAGGTGTGCCCTCCCTCAAGTCTATGGCGTACTAGGAAGAGAACAAGCGAAAAAATTGAGGAATTGCTACTTATGAGGGTGGATAAGATGTTACCGAACTGGGTTGCGATGACCAGGTTCTTTTACAATTATGGACGAGAATGTTTAACCCTTTCACTCCCAAGATGTAATTTGTAATTCTCCTTACTGTCTACCATACAATTCTTATGATGTTAGTTCCTGAGAATTGGGTACTGAATCAACTAAAAATCTCCTTTTTAATTTTTTTGTTATTCTCATCACTTGTAATATTTTAAGGAGAAATTCTCTCTTAATCGCTCGTGGGAATTCAAGGATCAATAACTAATATCTGATGAGTTGGAACTAATAAGTTTTTCCTCTTCTTGGCCTTAACACTGCTCATGGTCAGTAGAGCTTCACAAAAACTCTCAGAATCGACGAAAATTTTTGACTATCTAGCTGTTTCTTCCTTTTTATTCAATTTTTTTGTGTTTTGTTTGTTTTTTTAGTTGAAATGTTTCCAAAGTACTTTACAGAATGTTTAGTTTTCTGCTTCTATGCTACTATTATGGAGGTGAGAAAAATCCTGTTGACGAGAATAACATTTTGGGTCAATCGTCTCCCCAGAGCACACCATTATCCATACCCAGTGGGCCGAAATGGACACTTAATTTTTTGAATCCGTATTCCTCGGAGTCTGAAGACTACAATGTATTATTCACCTGAGACCACCCGTCCCCTTCGCGCACAATTATCACTGTCATGTGCTGTGTCAGCCCCATCACGAGATCTTCACGTGATCTGCCACCTTTCTTGTTGTCTCGGTATTTTTCACTCACTACAATGCGTCCTTCGCAGCCATCCTTGTCACAGAACGCGTCTGTTACAAATATTACGCCAAAGTACGACTGGGGAAACTCAGGCCGAACGAGTTCGTCCGCAGAACGGACGCATGGGTTTCGCGCATGCGTCACACAGGAGCCTTGTTCCCGCTTGCCATAGCATACACATCTTTAAAACAGAATTTTTCAAATATAATAAGCAGTTTTAGCCTTATTTATACTTATTGGACGAGAAGAAGAAGTAGGATTCTTCTCTCAATATGTCTGCCTATCGACGGCAGCTACAGTAGTAAGAGAGAGCAAACATTACCTTGAGCCAGCTGGACAATGATGTAGCTCTTCAGCGGGCTCATCCAACGTATCAATCAAACACTCCCGCCATCCTGTGTAGTCAGCCAAGCAGTATTTGCCAAGTGGTTTGGCATCACAGAACTTGTATTCCTCCGCGAGGGATGATGGGAAACAGAAAATGGAGAGTTGAAACATCAGACGCATAACTACTCTCATAGTGCTTCAGGTCTGTCCGAAAAAGAAAAAAAAAATTAAGGAATTCGGAGGACCTGAATGAAGGAAGGAAACTTTTCCCGACCTGCAGCACTGGATCAGCAAATAAGGAAGCAGAATTTATCAAGAGATTCTAAGGATAGCAATTCCTGTTGTTAGTTATTGAGGTCTTCAAAACAATTTAAGTTTTCACTGCCATTTTTCGGACGATTGATTTGGCCTGCGTTCTTAAACAATGTTGATCGTGCTACAAACAGGCTCTCAAACAACTCATTAAGGAAACATTTTCCATCCAAAATTAAACCAACTCTTGCCGTCTTTTTGGCTGGGCCCAGCCTGTCAAGTAATATTTTGTCGCAAAAAACGTGACTTTGCATGAAACTTAAATTTTCAAAATTAACCATGCAGATTTCGGAAGTTTATTCTGAAATTCGCAAGAGCATCACTTTTACACTCTACTACAATGATTTCGAGTCCAATATGAAAAAAGTTTTAACGCCAAAGCTTTTTGTCAATCAAGAAATAAGCTCACCAACTGAGTCATGTAAGACACCGGTTTTGTAAACGGTAGTTGGTTGATTTCCCTTTGGGCTGATAAAGTGTTTTAAACCACATACCTGGAGACTTACAGCAGTCTTTTTTCCCTTATTTGTTTCTTACCAATTTAAACCTTAAAAATTTTGTGGTTGGAGAACGACGAAAACTCTTACCTAATAGACTTAAATGAAAAATGAATACCGGAAACGAATGGTGAGTTTGAGTAATGGTTTCTACCAAAGTGACAGTTACCAGCCGAGATGGGTGGAGTTAGGGCTGCACCAGGTAAGGACGAATAAGCTAGGATGATCAGAGCCATCTAAAAATCCCCCCAGAATTCGTGACTGTTGTATCTAGACTATCAGACCTAGCCTGAGAATGGTTTCTCATTTTTAGAATTGACTGAACACTGTCTGACCAGTCAGGACAGTCTGACTCGTCAGTTATGACAGATCACGTGATCAACATTGCTTAATTGAACTTGGCGCATATAAAAGTTTATTTCTCTGTTTCTAAGCGTGAGTTGAAACAAGTCACAGAAATTTATTCAGGGACGGGAAGTAGAAACGTGAAAATAAAGCAAGTGTCCCATGAAATTGAAATTTCTGTGAATATTTGGTTTTGCCCTACACGCACGTCACTGGTTTAGCTTTGTATATTATGGTCTAGACCATGAGTCAGATTAAATCAGACCAACGAGTCAGATTAAAGAGATTATACAGCTATCTAGTCGAACATTTATCTACAATATATATTACATCCACGTTGAAATCATTGCGGGTGATCCCTGTAATCTGATTAGATCTCATTGGTGCGATTAATTCACAAATCGCACCCTTTTTTTTTGCTCTAAATCGCATATTTTTCCCAGCCATTGCGGTAGCTTAACTGAAATGCAACAACCAATTGCTTATTCAAAGAAACCAATCAAATTGCAGGGAAATAATAATTAAAGAAAAAAAAATTTTGCAACTTTCTAAAAACCAATTCACCACTGGATCAACCAAACATTTGCACAGACTGAAAAATCGTGTATCTAAAAACAAACAGAAAACATTCTGGACAAAACACGAGCCCATATGGCTATGCTCTTCTCTAGTCAGCGGACTCATTATTAGTCACCAGTGTCCCAAAGAAGCCATCGTCACAGCGTAAGCCCGCCTGCCGTAAAATGTCGAATCGAGGAGCTTACTACAAGAATCGATATGGAGGAAGACGGTAAGGGACTTTGATTTGTATTGAAATGCTATTGATGTTGAAAAATGACACAAGGATAATTCGATCAAAGTGTAGAAATGAGATAAAGGAACATGAAATTTGTTAACGAGTTGGTTGATAATCAATTGTAGATTTACACGTGTGCATTACTAAGGGTAGAAAGTCACTTTTTTCTCGACATGTTAAGTTGTGAGATTTAACTGTATTTGCTCTGTTTATATTTCGAAATGAATGTTGTCTCCCTGTTCTGTTTTCAAAGATCAAGATGTACGTCATCGATCCAGACTGAATTTTTTTTGGTCATATTTTTTTAGGGGATCTAGAGGTGGATGGAGAGGTAATTATCAAAACCCAAACAGTTACGGTCAGCAAAGACCAGATTCTGCCTCAAACGATGGCAGGGGGTCCAGCTATGGAGGCTCAAGGAACTGGGAGGTAGGAATGAAAATGGTGGGGAGTGATCATCTCATTTCTTGGCAGTCTGAGTCTCCCTATTCTCTCTAGAAACATATTAAACAACAAGGCTCTGACATCAAATGTCTTATTTTAATCTGAGTTAAAGTGCTTTCTTGGGAAAAGCCATTCAGCAGAGAGACTGAACAGTGAATTATGTTCAAAGCATCAGTTGTAAGTATAGAAAAATGAAAATTTGAGATGAAAAAAAAGTCTGAGAAAAAAAGACACTACAGAACCTGAGGCTGTAAAATATGTGGAAATTTTATGAACCATTACTCAATGGATAGAACATTATCTATGTAACATCAGTATGCATATTCTCCATACTGTCCTCCATACTTTTCTTGAGATGCTGGAAAGGAGAACTTGTTTAGCAATCAAGAGCTTTTTTAGTTGGTGATCATTTCCCTTATCCTTGTGACCTTCATGTTTGATTAAGGATGGATATTGATATGCTCAAGTCACTCCTAGTAGTCAAAGGGTTAAATTGAATTTTTTGTAAAATTACTCACTTTGTGTTTCCAAGTCAAGCATGCTCTCTTTTAGTAAAATGAATGTAAAGTGATTTATTTGCCATGTATTCTTGGATAGGATCTGGCTCACACTCTGGCAGACTTAGAGGGGAAAAGCTACAAAGCTTACCATGATATATCAGGTAAAGTTCTCTTGTTTGATCATATGTTTGTGCAACCATCCTATCCCTGGCATTACAGGTGAGCATAAGCTTGTCAGCTGTATGTCAGAGAGTTAGTCCTGCACCTTGACAAAGAGCTAACATTCAAACCATCATCTTTCGAATTTGTTCTGCTTATTTCCCTTGTGACTTCAAAATGAATTGATTTTATATGAAGATTCTTAAGCAGGAAAAAAAATGTTAAGTTGAGGATGTATGGTAAGCAGTGCAGAAAATTGATATTTATATTATTTTATTGAGAAGGTAAATTATACTGTAAAACCCTGTAATTTCAATTCCCTCTTTTTAGGGATTTGTAGCTTACATTAATGATCATATTTACTTGCTTTACAGAAGCTTACAACAGCGGTAATGCTTCAGGATTGTTATTTTCATTGCTTTTTTGTTATTTCTGTTGTACTTTAGGATGCTGGATTTTTCCAAACTTTAAACTTTATGCTGACAAAATACAGAGTGACCCTTTTGCTCCTGCATCATTGTTCAGAGTTATCATGGATCAAGATGTTGCAGGATACCCAGCATTTACCAGCAGGTAATGCTTTGCATCTTGAAATAACCAAAACATTTGTGTGGGATTTATTTCATTTGTGTGGTAGATACAGATAAGCAAAGGTTTTAGTTTCAAAACAACCAATAAAATCATGCATATGGCTTAACATAAGGGCCCAGTTGTTTGAAGGCCGATTGGCACTAACCCAAGGTTCAATTTTAATCTGGATTTCTTTATTCCTTTATTCAAAAGCCTTTTTGGGATAATTTTCTGTGTTCTTTTTAGAGCATCAAATAGTCATATTCTAGATGAAAGAAATTTGACTGAATTTTCTTTTAAAGCTTTCAGATCTGAAATCAGATCTCACACTAACCGTGGATCTGGTATTTTAGCTCCTCCCTAGGAGTATGCCCCTGGTCAATTAAGCCATACCTCGAATTACAGATAATCAGTTCGTATTATAACAGGATTTGATAGAAAAATTGATTCTTGATCACCAGAATTTAAGACCCATTCACCAGTAAGCAATCTAGTCTTGTCTGTGTTGTTCTTTATGTAGACCAGTGCCCAGGAAACAATACATTTGCCATTTTTTGTGGCTGCTCTCTTTAGACACTCAACTGGTGATCATTCAAAAGAAAGAAAACATTTTATATTCATGTATATTCTCCACATTTTGATTCCTAAGAATGATTAGGATCTAATTTCTCCTTACAATATCATCCCTGAATCAAACATTGAGGTCACAAGAATAAAAACAATGATTGCTTATGGAAGAAGCTCTTGATTATTAAAACAAATTCTCCTTATCAGCACCCAAGGAAATGTATAGAGAACAGTATGAAGAATATGCATGCTGATGTTAGGGTAAAAAGGGCTAAAATCAAGAGCTTTTCAAGTTTGTAATCATTATTGTTATTCTGTCGTTTGATGCCCAAGTGGAAATTAGATACTAGTCTCCTTCAGGGGTTTTTAAGGGTTAAGCAAAGAAATGTTTTTAAAACTTTGTTTTCAAATTATGCAGATGGGTAAAGATGTTACAAATCAGATGTTTTTGTGTTTTTGGCAACCAAATGAAAGAGCTGAAGATTTAACTCTTGGTCTCTGATTTACAAAACTGAAGATAATATTTGTTTATTTTCACAGCACTCGTCTTCAGCAAATAGCAACAGGTGACTACCTGACAAGAATATTTTCCAATCTTGTGCGGTTTGGAGGCCATGATAGACAGCTGAGTGGTGGCAGCGAAGGATGGCATGGCAAGAAAGGAGGGAGCATGAATATTGAAACGTATGCAACTGTCCAATTCAGGGATATTTTATTCTATTGGGCTGGGATGTTTAAAATACTGTGAAGCTAACTCACGATCATAGATTACCTTGTTTATCATTTTTAAAGTTTCTCTCAGTTATTATGTGCTCTGAAATTGGTTGGTTTTAACCCACTACACCCTAAAATCAACATCAATATTCTTCACACTCTTCTCTGTACATTCCCTTTGTTACTCACAAGGAGAATATGTTTAACAATCAAAGCTTCTTAGGTTGGTGATCATTTCCTTGATTCTCAGGATGTTAATGAATGATTCAGCACTATTATTGTGAGGAGAAATTTAATGCTGGTCACTCTTAAGGTTCAAATGTTCAACGTGTGGTTTTGAAGTCATTTCACTGCAAATTAGGGAGTTTTTATATCTTCTAATTTCTCTCTTGTCTAAAGAAAAAATGTGAAGGAACTATATTCAATTGAGGAGCACCTGAATTGCTCTGGACTCACCTTAAAACCACCTCGAAATGTATGAATGAAGTGACATCAGCCATTATTTATCTATCATAACATCAGCATGCATATTCTCCATACTGTTTCTTATACATTTCCTAAGATGCTGACAAGGAGAATTTGTTTGACAATCAAGAACTTCTATTGTTGGTGATCATTTCCTCTAATTTCATGACCCTAAATGTGCAATTTATGGGTTATATTGTAAGGAGAAATTAGGTTCTAGTCACTAGAAGGGGTCTGAAAAGGTTTAGAGAAAAAAGGAAGTTATTTGCTTGTCACCAAATGTTGTTCAATATTGTTTCTCATATTTTTTTAAAGTTTAATTTAGTTTTGGTTTTTTGCAGACCATGTCAACATGTTCTTGAGAGGACTTCTTGTATTGTGACACCTGAAACTGTTGAGGTACATACATTTACCTGTAAACTTTTTATCAGAACTTTACCTTCTAGACATCTCAACTATTTGAAAGGTTTGACTGATATGAGCTCTCGAAGAACTAAAAAAAAACAAGACTGCAAGGAATTAATCTTTAACGAAAATGACTTTATACACGTCGACGAAATGGTGGTTAGCGTACTGACGTGTTGGCGAAACGACCGAAGAGAAAGCATCAAGCTCAATAACCATATCATTTTCTTTCAGTTGAGGTTCACAGTATCCCTTCCAGCAAGAGGCCGAACCATCGAAGGACATGCCTGCAAGAGAATTCTCACCGAGAACCTTCCGCTAATTATTAATAAGGTGAAACTTTAGAATTTCGCAAACCTCTGAAACTAATCTTTCCCAGAATGATGTCTGGTCAAGCTCGTCTTCATGTTATCTTCCTCGTGTGTTACTTTTTTTTTCCAGGCTCTTCCATACGAAAGTCAGGATCAAGCAGCGCTTAAGAAACATGTGGAGTGTGTTGAAGACCAGGAGTACATTCGTTCTCAGCTCTCTGCAGCCAACCTTGTGGCATTTGTCAGAGATGAAGCTGTTCTACCGCGTGCAAGTGGAGCAGATGACAGGCCAATGGAAAGGTCTGGTGTCACTTTGTTCAAAAGTCCGGACAGTTTGAGAGTGGAGTTTAATATGCCACACGCTGGAAAGTAAGTACAAATTTCGTGATGCGCTGTATGTTGAAGGAGCTCTGCGCGATAATTGGAGTCTCTGAAAAGAGAAATTCCTGTTGGGCGCATCTCGACTGAATGTCATAAAACAAAAGTAGTCGCAACAGGCATCAGGGGGAAGGAAAAATATCACATGAAACCAACAAAAAAACAACAACAACAACATGATTGACTAAGATTGCTTAAATAAGCGATTTTTCTCTGGATCTATCACAGAGGGTCTCAATTAACCGTCAGCCCGTAAAATGACCAAAAAGTTTAGCCGTTAGGTGTTAAAAGGATTGAAAAATTTCAACTCAGTCGTTAACAAAGTTAACCGTAAAAAATTTTTGTGACGACAGTGGAAATATTAACTGTTAGCCGTTAATTGGCGAAAATATTAACCGTTAGCCTTAAAAGCCATCACCGTCATCACTAAGCGGAGTGAGGAAAAAAAATGTAAGATGTAATTCTTCATTTGTTAGGGTGACAGGCATGGGTATTCCTAAAGGGGTATCTCTTATTGTGGGCGGTGGTTTTCACGGCAAGTCCACGCTGCTAAATGCCATCCAGTTTGGAGTGTATAACCACATCCCTGGGGACGGACGGGAGTTTGTCTGCACCGATCCGACAGCGGTTTCAATACGGGCTGAGGATGGTAAGAAGTGATTTTTTTTATAAAGTGTTTTAATCCTTGTCATTGTGTCTCCTTGCTGCGAAAATGTTTCGCATATCATGCTTTATATTTACCCGTTGGTTTGTGTGTTCGTTTGTGCTCATTTGTTCATCCCTTTTCTCGTTCTCTTCCTTGTCTGCTTCCTTGTTTGCCTGCTCGTGCGCTCGC